ATTCATCAAGAATTTCCAAAGGAGAATGCCAGTCTGAAGGCAGTTCAATTGAAGGAATAGCAGCCATTCCATTTTTTCCTTGGGCAGATGTGGCTGGGGAAGCTGTCACAGTCAGGACAATTATTTGGGGGTTTTTTTTTTCCCTGTCCTTTGCAGAGACCATCTTTCATGATGAGGGGTGAAAAGTTGCTCATCATCATTCCGCTTCCTTACTTTTCCTGCTTGCATTGCAACCTACAAGTTCTTGGTGACCAAGTGGGTTTTATAATGCTTTGTCAGATGATCGCTCCTAATGAAGCGCTTTTGGCACTGGGCACACTCAAAACGTTTGTCACCTGGTCAGAAAAAGGAACAAGAACAACAATGAGCACACATGACAACAGCCATATAATAAAAAGCTGATGCACAAATAGCTTACAGAGATTGCTTTTTTTAAAAAAAATAGGCGCATGATAAAACTAAATCCAGAACTAAAACTAAGAGCCAGTTTTGTATAGAGATTAAGGCTAAAACTGGGAGACAGTGAGTCTTAGTCTCACTTTAGGCACAAAACCAGCTGGGCAATCTTAGGCCAGTCTCACTTTCTCAGCCTTATTAAGGAGGCAATGGCAAACAATTGTGAAAAACCTTGCCAAATCCCCCACTGCAGGGATTTTTCTAAGAATTGGGCATGATTGAACAAAATCTCCCCCCCCACAAAATCTAAATGTAAACTTTTGTAAAAATGCATGGCAAGGATGAAGATCTTGTTCATGTCTTCCCTGTAAGCATCTGATAAACCACTTTTCAAACCAGAATGCTAAGCATTAATCTGATTCAATATTGGAACAATTTTCCACTCAGACTTGAACTTGTGAGTTTCTAGTTAAGGTTAAGACAGTATTTTATGAACAATGGAGATGGAATGATGGCAACTGCAATCAAAGAAAGCTGAATGCATCAGTACCATAACAGAACAATTGAATTGTGAAATGTAAATGAGCAGATTATGAGATACAGAATGCTAAAGTCAGTCGAGGCTGCAGGATATGAATTCTAGCTGTGAGCCTAGCAATGCTCTACTCTGAACCAAAGCTTCAGTGGACTTCTGGATAGCCCAGGTGGAGCACCTCCCAATAGTTAAGTCATGAGGTACTCAGGGTACAGGCAACTATCTGAAGGGATTCCAGATGCAAAAATATATGAAATGGGTGCCCCAAATGGAAATATGCAAAGAAAGTTGCAACACTGCAGGAACTATAAGTCCAGGTCAATCCCCATTCATAAATGGGAAAGTGCAAACCCATCCAATATTAAAGATGGAGTATTCCACAACAGTCACCTTATAGGGGCATGAATGGCACAGTAGTTTAATAATACACTCAGCAAAAGGAAAGGGAACATTGAACTCCATGGCACCCCATAAAGGAGAGAGCTAGGGAACAACCTGTCACCACCAGCACACCAGCTGGGCCTTGAAAGAAGGAAGATAACCATTGTAAAACATGCTATCAACTTTTAAAGCTAGTCCAGATGCTGCCATGATCAATGGTAGTAAAAGCCACCACAGAGATCAACAATGGATGCAGTATCTCCATCCCAGCTCTACCCCATATTATCTACAAGTGTGACTAAGATTATTGGTGTACTAAATTTTGGCCTAAAACACAACTAAAATGTTTCTAGATAAGCTGCTTCGTCCAGAGTCCTCTGCAACCGCAGTCCAACTTTCATCTCAACAACTTTCCTTACAGAGGGATATATAGATATAATATATGTTTATTATGCTAGAAGTATAAAAGTTTCTAGTGTGCTTTGAAGTACAATTCAAGGTGCTGAATCACCTATAGAGCCCTTCATAGTATAAGACTACAATATTTGCAAAACTCCCTCTCATTATATCTATCCACCACACTAGTACAATGAAAAAGGCATGCTCCAGATCCTATTTAATACAGAATGTTATCGAATGAGACGAGGGAACAGGCATTTTTGCTGCAACACCTGATCCAAGAAACATCACACTTCCCAATAGCCAAGTCTGCTAGAACGACAGCTGGGATACAACGGAAGAGAGAGGCAGAGAAATGACTGGACAGACCTGTATGCGTTCGGGCGTGCCGTTGCAGTTCATCACTGCGTGTAAATCTTTTTCCACAAAAGACCCAGTTGCAGACAAAAGGCCTCTCGCCCGTGTGTAGACGTACGTGGGCCCGCAGAAGGGAAGTCTTGCGGAAGGTCTTTCCNGATGGTTCAGTGTGAGATTGTAACATTTCAGTCCATCAAGAAATGCATGGTTCTCCCCCAACCCAGCATTCCCTTTTAGGCAAGCTACATGCAGCTCTGCCAAATTACACCATTAATTGAAAGCAAGAATGATTCGTCACTTAAAGAAACATACGTCAAGCGGTTACAACTAAAAAATAAAATGGATTTTCATTTTAATTTAAAGGTCAAAAATAACAAATGGTATATTTTTGAAACAAACACTTAAACGCAATATATAGTTTATGATACAATATACACTATGGTACACGAAAAGAGCTGCATCGGATATATATATATATATAAAAAAGAGGCAGGGGGAATCCAGTGAAGTAAACAAAACAAAATAAAAAAGGGAAAAACTGAGAATATTCCATTTTTGGAAAAAAAAAATGTTTCCTTTTCCTATCAAATTATTAATAATGTCTAATAGAGCTTGACAGTGCAAAACTACACTGGACTTTTAACTCTATTTATGTAACCAAGCAATGCAGAATTGCAAACAGATTGCCCTAGGTTTTCCATATGGCTCATACATAGCTTTTGCCTGCACTTTTTGCTATCTACACCAGAGCTTGTGGGTCACAGTCCCACAGCTCTGCTTCATATATACATGGGAGATCCCCTTCCTTCCTTCCTTCAACAAAGTGCTGCTGCTGCTGCTGCTGCTACACATACCCTAGAAATCCCCGTTCTATAGACAGGGCATATCTAGTTTATAGACCACGATCAGATCACAGCCTCTGCATTTTGAGAGGGGCTTTATCCTTTGCCTGCACTGTTAGGCAAAGGATTGTTTGTTTATAAAGAAATCATTAAATTAAAAAAAAATGTTCACAATACATAATTTGAACCTGGGGTAAAATATAAGGCAACATTCTCCGTAGAAAAGACATGAAGCTTCCTAAGGAGGTTATTTTATATGTGTGTGTATATATAGATATAGATATATATATATATTTATATATATATTTATATTTTTAAATATAAAGTAGGAATGTGCTAGGGGGACCGAGTCCCATTTTGGATGGTTTCCCTGCCTCTCATTCAAAAGCTTCACAAGTACATGGGAGTGAGTGGGAAGAGGAACCCAAATTACAAGTGGGGTACAGTTCCGCTGGTGCTACTCTCAAACCCATAAGGAGTTCCTTTGGTGCAGCAGAGGAGGGCCCTGGCTCTGCAAACTCCTGAGGAAAGTGCATAAATGGGTTTTGCCTTGCTTTTCCAGGTCTGCCACTGGGCTTGTGCTGATTTGAGCATATTTGGAAATGGCATTGCTCCCCCATCTCAGGTTCAAGCCTTGAAGTTTGATGCATTCATCAAGAATTTCCAAAGGAGAATGCCAGTCTGAAGGCAGTTCAATTGAAGGAATAGCAGCCATTCCATTTTTTCCTTGGGCAGATGTGGCTGGGAAAGCTGTCACAGTCAGGACAATTATTTGGGGTTTTT